GAAAATATTGGCATTAAGTACTTTTCACAAAGGGGGTCATATAATAGATTATTCTTCATTATGATGAAATAAAAAAAAAACAACAACATTGCAACCAATTCATGCAGTGGTCTCAGTTATCAATATCCAGTGCTAATGTGGCTCTTAGCAGGAAGGGAAAAGAGTTCTTTATCTTTGTGATAATTCTAGTCACTGTGCCTCTCCTCTCTAGACATTCTTGCATTCCTTAATATCACAAGATTGTCCCACTACATCATCTATGAAGTGACATCAATGCCATCAATGTTTATACCCTTTGTCAGGGTATAAAACTGGCAGTAGGCCAAATCACAAAGGGAGCACTACTCATGTCCTGACAAGTTGGAATGAATTTATCCCCTTGGAATATCTCCCTTATCTACATCGACCCCAAGCCACTCAAGACTAGCAAAGGTGGTCTCCTTGAGGTCTACCAAGGAGACTGTCAGAAAGAATTCAACCTGATAAGAACTTTGGACTTGCCTGGATGCATGCCAGATCCCCTATTTGGCGTATGCCCAATCCCACCTGCCAATGAAGGCAATGCAAGAGACACAGGTTTGATCCCTGGGTTTGAAAGATCCTCTGGAGAAGGAAAATGCAACCCACTCCAGTATCCTTGCCTGGGAAACCCCATGGACAGAGGAGCCTGGCGGGACACAGTCCATAGGGTCACAAAGAGTCAGACATGTCTGAGTGCATACACACACACACAATCCCAATTCTAAATTGTCTTTTCAAGAGGTGTTGACTTTCTTGAAATCTTAGCTGACCAATAACTATAACTATCTAAGTAACCATGTTATTACAAGTCATTTGATGCTATTCCCATAGCCATAAATAGCCAAGATTATGGCACCAGAAGGAAGAGGTGGCAAATAGATCGATGTGCATTGGTCTGTACATGTAGAGTCCCAGCTGAAGGAAGGTCCACCAACTTGAGTTTTCACGGATGCACAAATCAGTGATACTCTCCCTTTGCTTCTATTTTACCCTTTCTAGTAGCAGTTCTGTGCTTAAGGCTGATGGTGACTCTGATTACACTTAGGAAGCCTCACTGTCTATAAATGACTTCACCATTAGCAGTTTCTTCTGACTAGATGGAGACCTTTGAGGTGAGACTGAAAACATTTGCAAAATAATTATTTGCAAAAATGTTTGCAAAAACATTTGCAAAATAATTAGCATTTATATACACTTTACAGCTTATAAAATTTGTTTCACATGCATTATCTTGTTAATTGTCACCAGCAACCCATAGATGTTTTATCATGCCCAATTACAGGTGAGGAAGAGAGCTCAGGAAGAGAATATTCCTTAAACCACACAACTAGTAAAGTGGTACAGCCAGGACTCTCCCAAGACCTTCTGTATGTAAGTCCTTTGCAGATTCTGCATCACCCACAGCCATCTTCTATCCATTCAGTATCTCAGAGAGACTGTCATTGAGGGTTAACTAGGAAAGCAATAACTTTTCCAATGCTTCAGCCTTAAAGCTATCCTGAAAATCACTTTTAAAAGTCCTTAGTATAGGCTTCTTTCAGATTTTTCATTAATGTATGCCTCAATTGGTTCATAATGGCATCTTGCTATATCAATTCTTAATTATTCTGAAGATGTATCATGTTTGCTTGGCTTAATGTAAAATGAGAAAAGACACAATGGAAAGTTAATAAGGTATAAAAGCTTAAGGCTAGCTATGTAAAGTCTTTTCATTTTTGATCTATGAAAATACCAATCCATTGTTGATCTTTTTTTACAGCATGGGAAATACTCTGATTCAATGTATTCTTCTGTTTGTTTTTAATAGCCCTGTTGAGGGATAGCTGAAACACAATAAAACACGCATGCTTAAAAGGCATTTTGTCTTGACATGTACACCCCCATGAAACCATCGCCTTGACCAGGATAATGAAAACACCCATCACCCTGCAGTTTCCCCAAGTCCCCTGGTAATCCCTCCTTCCCACTTTTTCCTGCCTTTTCCCGCCCGCATCACCCTCCCTCCCTCATTCCCGGGCAACCACCAATCCAATTTCTGTCACTAAACTGCCATCCTTTTCCTAGAATTTTCATAGAAGTGGAATTATATATGGTATACCTTTGTCCGTATTCTTACACTCAGTACAATTATTCTGAGGTTCATGTATTCTTAAATTAGGCAATATCAGATACCATTATTTATTAATGGGATCTTTTGGTAGTATTACTCTCCACAAAGTGAAATCACATCTGCTTTAGACAGAGTGACTCTATAATCTGGTTTATCCAGATCAATTGCTCAAGAAGAAAAAAGCCTTAGTTCTTTCATCAATACTTCAATATACTTCTCCTCCTATGAATTTACATAGTAAGTGTTTACAGCACACCTCCTATAGATACACATGTACTTGTGTATGCATGTGTAGGACTTCTTGAAACAGTCTTTAAGCAAATCTAAATTTTGATAAGTGCTCTGAAGTAAAGTGGACCTTCCTAAGGAAATGCATTGAGAATTAGTAGGAGTTACTCAAATGAAAAGTTGGCAGAAGGCTCTTCCATAGTGAGGACTCAGAATCAGTTTGTATAAATTCATGTTCAAAGAGGATTTTCACTTATTCAACAATTAAAAGCAATAATTAAGTACCTGTTACATGCCAAGCTCCATTCTAGGTACTGGGGCAATAGAAGAGTTTCTCTCTTCACACGCGTAGAGGCAATAGTAAGCAAAAGTAAGAAGGGCAGGGAGAGGGGTAGATTAGGGTTTTAGGATAGGAGCCAGTACTTGTTTTTTTAAAGAAACAGTACAGTAACATCACATCGAGAGTAACTGGGATTAGGAGAAGGATGACTATAGATTCTCTGGCAGAAAAAGCTCCTCTAAAGAGGTGATATTTGAGCTGTGTTTTGACTGACAAGGGCAGGCCAGCCAAGTGAAGCTCTGAGGGGAGAAGGTTCCAGGCAGAGAAAAGAGCAAGTTAATCATCCTAAGGTGAAAATGAGCTTGCTGTATTTCGGCAACAAATAACTGAAAGCCGGTACAGCGGAAATATGTGAGCAGAGAGAACACCACCAGAAGGGTTTAAGGAAGCGAAGCTTTTAGCACAGAGTTTAGTTATTGTAACTGGGGGACTCTAGGACCCTCCTAAGAGTGAAAGAACCTCACTTGAAGAGGTGGATAAATCATGAGGGTCAGTGTAGACTAGATTAAAGATTTTAATTTTTTGTCAGTGCCACAAGAAATCATTGAATGCTTTCGAGAAAACTGGAGACATTCTCAGGCCCTTATCTTAACTGATGGAGGATGTCGATAAAAAAAGTGCTGTCCGTCGTGTGTCAGTAAGAGAAGGATGCTGCAACCATTGAGCCATTGCAGTCACCCCAGGCCGTGAGCCCCAGAGGAAGTCAGGTTGGGGCCTTGATGCTCCTCGTCAAGCCGCCAGACAGAGCAGCCACCCCGAGCGGCGCACCCTGAGGAGACGAGAAGGCCCAGGACACGGGCCCAGAGCTGAGGGGCTCGTCAAAGGCATGGTTTCCGTGCACTCAGCCTCACATCACTCCACACACAGACACAGACACGCACTAAATGCCCACACTCGAGATGTCTGCTTTCTTTAATTAAACAGTGAACTTCTGCAGTTCTGACGACCTGGTCTTTGCTGTAAAAAACTCCTAAATGTCCTGGCTCCTCCCGTGCCTCTTCAGAGCAGCCTCTCGGAGGCATCTGACCCACTACGTCCCAGGCTTAAGTCCTCAGTTGTCTACCAAGTAAAACATAATTCTCAACTTTCAAGGCATGCATTTCTCTCAGTCAACCAGGGCTTTGTACAGAGAACAAGAATGGAAGAAGGGTGAGCCATCAGAAGACTATTTCAGGAGCTGTAAGCAAAATTATAATGGTTGGAGAAATTATAAAGAGTTGGAGAAAACTGAACTGTGACTGTCGAAAAGTGACTAAAAATCCTACAGTGCTTATGAAAGCCAGTGGTATTTGACCTAAAGACTCTACAATGAATTATTTCAAAGAGTACTATATTAAGTGTACCTCACAAACACAAAAAAAGAATTTTAAATAGTGCACTAAAAATAAAATTTATATGTACTTCCTTTCCCTTAATGTTAATATTTTCTCTCAGTAATATGCTAAATTGGTTTATGTCTCTATTAAAACTTTCTGCCTAAGAAGTCTTTATATCATCTTACAGACCCCTGAATGCAGAATTTACATTGAAGAGCTCATATGAATCTCTAACACATCACCTTAATTAAACTGAGACATTTTTTTATTTTTTCCCTGCTGTTTTAGTGAGAATATATTCTGCTTTCTGATATACAATAAAAATTATGTGAATACAAACTGATTATGAATCCTCATGTTTTGAAAGGAAACATACACTTTGATATTATTGTTTTCAAAAATAAAACTCCTGTGGAAGAGCAGGAAACATAGCTATTTACATTCTTTTCCGATTAATTTCAAATCAAAATGCTGTTTTCATTACTTCAATAAAGAATAGCAATTGATTCAGTATATAATTGAAGGACCTATTGCATGTCAAAATATTCTTTCTCCACCTCCTACTAACTGTAAGTAAAGCAGCAAAGTAAAATAAAGAGAAATTTGGCAAAATTCTGATTTTCTTATAGAGTTCTTACAGGTTAACATTTACCGATTCTTGTGCACATTTCTTCTGTTTTGCCCTTTGTCACTGAGAGAATTCACCAGAAGCCAAAGGCACCTTCCCTCGGTGGAGAGGAGACGGACGTCCTAGGATGCTGCCCTGCCGAGGGGCCGCCCCGCCGTGCGCCGGACACAGCGGCGGAGCCAGCGGGATCAGCGGCCGTCTGAGGGGAGCAGGCCTCGGTCAGCGGCGCCTGCTTGTTTGTGTCAGCTTCTAGGCTCCAAAGCCAGACTTCTGGAACTGCGGGAAGCGCCCAGAGGTTCAGGTCGCGAGGTGATAACCTTAGGGATGCGATGCACCGCCCTCCTTGCACAGTCTCTCATGTACTCACACACTATTTGGCACACGCGCAGCTGGTGGACCTCCCGACATGACAAGGGCATAGTCCCACCATCTAAAGACACCGGGGCTCTCCTCCGGCGCAGCTGGTAAGTCAGCAGGGGACCCAGGTTAGATTCCTGGGTCGAGGAGACCCCCTGAAGGAAGTGGCAACCCACTCCAGCAGTCTTGCCTGGAGAGTCCCACGGACAGAGGAGCCTGGCGGGCTACAGTCCACGGGGTCGCAAGAGTCGGACACAACTTGGCGATCAAACCGCCACCACCATCTGAAGATGTTACACACTCGTGAAAGTTTTGGAAAAGTAAAGAAGAATCAAACTCCAAGGGATGTGTGTAATAATGTCAGCAGTACACTGCCTGTTCATAGAAAGTAGCCCAGGCAAGGGAAAGCAATTGGCAAGAGGGGACCATACTCGGAGAAGTCTGCTAGAGAAAGTCCTGTTCGCACGCATTAATAGAAAATAAGCTCACGGTTACTAAAGGGGAAAGGAGTGTGGGAGGGGTAAATTAGGAGTTTGAGATTAGCAAATACAAATTGTTATATATATACATAAAATATATAAACAACAAGGTCCTAGTATATAGCACAGGGAACTATATTCAGTATTCTAGAGTAAACCATAATGGCAAAGAATACAAAAAAGAATATATGTGTGTACAGGTACACATATGTATGTGTAACTGAATCACTTTGCTGTATGCCAGAAGCTAATACAACTTTGTAAACCAACTATCTACTTCAATGAAATTGTTCAAAGCACTGCCTGTAGAATACATGTGAGTTGGACAACCAACGAAGAACTTAAAGAGGACAACCCAGGAACTTCCCCGGTGGTCCGCTTGTGAAGACTCTGCACTTCCAACACAAGGGCGCAGCACCCGCAGGCCGGTGCGGGACTAAGATGCCACATGCCATGCAGTGGGGGAAAGAAAAAAACAGAAAGAACAACCCAGGCTGGTCATAGTAGACACTGTTAGTTACAAATCCAACATTCTTGCCGTTCTTATTTCTTCTTAGCAGAACTCTTGTTCTGCTGAGACATCCACTCCTCCCAAAAACTATATTCTTCAGAAGAAGCAAACCCAATCCCCAGATTCATGAGTGATTCTGATTGTCTAAGGTAGAATTTCTCCACCATGACACTCTTGATAACTTGTCCTGGATAATTTTTTGTTTCCTCTCACTTGTGACAGCCAAGATTATCTGCACACATTGCTAATGCTGGGGAACAAGATCAGCCCCTGCTGAGAACCACAGGTCTAAGGATAACTCCAGTGGTTCTGGAATGAGCATGTGACCAAATTCTGACCCTTCTGGTATTTGCCTTTTTGTGCCGTAAGTTGGTGCTGACACTGCTGCAGACTTTTTGCCTCCAGCCTGAACAAAAGGAGTGATGACTTAAGATAGCAGAGGGGAGGTGGAAAAAACCTGAGTCCTCGATGACATTGTCAGGTGAATTCTTTGTTGCAGGGCGCATCCTGAATGTCCCGATATGTAAGATGGTATTTGTGTTGACTAGGACAGAGTGTATCAAGGTTTCTACAGATTCCAACCCAGTGGCCTTTGGTACCCAAAGGAAGCGGCACATGCAGTGCCCTGAGCCGGCTGCAGTACCCAGAATGGCTGGAGCGCAGAAGCTGAAGGGGTGAAGTGAAGACAGACGGCGTGAGAGTCCCCAGAAATGACAGGACTGTGTTCAGGGATGTGTGGTGCCCGGGGAGGCTGCAGGCAAGCTGGGTCAGAACTGGGCCTTTGAACGCAGCTTGGGTGAGCAGAGCAAGAACGAAGCCAGAGTTTAGAATGGGGAGAAATCTGCAGTACTGCGCAGATGGAAGTGGAAGGTGGTATCTTTACCTCCACTTTCCAAAAAGAGTTTGCTCTTCAGTTTGTTGTCTGAGCATTTGAAACCAAAAGATCAAGTTTCTACTTTCTAGTCAAATTCTGTGACCTTCCTCACAATGTCTGGCTTCTCATTTGAGAGGCGTATCTTTGCCACAGTTATCTGACACAATTCTGTTTAAAGGCATAACCAAAGGCCCTTCTGCGGTTGCACTTTCAAGTAAAACAGTGTTGTACATTCAGAAATCTAACACACTCCTACCGACAACGTGGTGCGCCTCCTAAGCACACAATCAATACACAGTCAAGACTTTCAGAACGCTAGAGTGACAAATAGTGACTGAATGTGGTGATGGACTCTCAGGAAAAGAACAGGCTGCAAACACTAGTCATGTTCTAGACGCCGGAGCATGCTGAGATCTACCCACTGTTTAGGGACATCTCACCCGGTCTATTTCTGCAGCTAGTTATGGAGTCATATGCAACATCTCTAAATGGTTCACAATAGGATTTCTCGTCATGAAGTTAAATTAGGATTATATGAAAATGTCCACTTTAAGACTGGATTATATAACTTCTAATGGTAAATTGTTAAAGGTAAAATTGACCATACTAGTAGACTATTTGGAATATATTGGTTTATAATTTTATTTTTTAACCTACTTCTCTCTGATTCTGTTTTACATGGCATATTTATATAGGCAGTATTCCATGCTGAAATTTGCTATCTTAGTTGCTTCTCTCTCAAAACACTGATAATACTGAATGTTATACAAACACACATACACAAATCTTAGTGGTTCAGGAACTAATATCACTGTAGCAAAAATATATATTTGAAAATGTTAAATACATAGCCTTTATTTCTGTCCTTAATAAAGAATGAAACAGACCAATTTGCCATGTTAAAGGGGAAGTACTACAAAATCTATGACCAGTATCCTCTTAGAGATTGAAATAGGTTTTGCTTTTAAAACTACTATTTTCTGTCCTTTCCTAATGGCTTAATTGACTTGTAAATTTGATTTTATATTTAAAAAAAATTTAAGCTGTTGCATTAACTAGTTGTTCATTTTTATTGTCTGCTGAAAGAGGTAACTGGTATGTTCATGCCCAGACCCCATGGGAATGACAAGAAAGAATGTCCATAAAGCTCTGCAGGTGGTTATACCAGAAAGGGATGCTCACATCAGAAACAGTTAATAAGGGATGTATGATGCTCACATACATGTGCATGTTTATAAGGATTTTAATCTTTCATCAATGAACAGGTGATGGGTATGAGTAATGTTTCTAAATCCCTATGTACTACAATGGAAAAATGAATTATCATTTTCTTATAGTGTCCCAGAAAATAAAGGACTTTTTAGATCATCTGTTACATCCCTTTGCAAAATTAGGATCAGTTCCAAGAGAATGTCTTCCAGGGCTTGTTCAAAGTTCAAGTTTCCTTGGCAGTGAACATTTCTCCATTTTCCATAAAGCTGCTGACTTTGGTTAAGTAGCATTTCTAAAAGTCATGTTACATTCTCATTTGATCATTTTATCTTATTAGTTCTAGATATTCAATAGTTAAACCCCATGTCCTTTAACTCTTTAAGAACTAAAGCTATATTTTTAATTGGGAGCACTTATTCACAATAGTTAATATAATATAAACAATTCGAACAAATTATTTATACAGAGCCCATATATAATCAAAATATCTTTGTAGCTCCATCTTAAATCTTACCAGCCAAACAGTGGCATAATTTTTATCATTTTTTGAGCAAATAATTTTATATCAAAATGCTAAGACATATAACTGTAAATTAAGAGCCCACTTATCCCCCCCAAAAAACTGTTCACATCCTTGAGAATCAATTCTATCTTTGGTGATTTATCCTAAGGAGTTAATATAAAGGAAAAAAGGGAAGAATGAGAGAAGAAAGAGAGGGAGGGAGAAAAAAGGAAGGAAGGAAAGTAGATATCAAAGAGATTTCCTCATGGAGAAATGCCTAACAATGCCTCAATGCCTAACAACGTGGGAATAGTTAATTACTCTATCTTCCACTTAATCAAACCTTATGCAAATTCTGTCTGCTTTACTCAGTACTAATAGGAAGCACTAGTGTATGGTAGGCCCTCTAAATGCATATGTTGAGTGGAAGCAACCATGGAGCTCACGCTCTGCCGTGGTTCCCAAGGAAAAGGACAATCTTGCACCTGGCTTCATTTATGAATACAAGTCCACAGTGAAACACCATGAGACCAAAATTATTTTTAAAAAGGTAGAAAAATGCTGTAAGGTGATAACTGCTTATAGCTTGAGATAATGAATAACATAAACTGCGAACATTTTAGGGTCAGATAAGGATTAAATTGATCCATGAAATGAACAGAAATTGGGGGCAGAAGCAGGACAAATAGCATTTAATTGTCAGCAAATATTCTTAGAAAGTGCTCCCAACTGTTTTCTCATTCAGGCCACATGAGTACCTCATCAATATATATTTTATTCTAGAAATAATACATTAAAATTATTCTGTTGTCTGGAAGTATGTACAATTCAGCAGAAATTTATTTGGAGGGAACATTCTAAGTGAAGAAGGGCTGATGGTAGAAACGAGGCTGGTGGTAAATGAGGATGCATTGTGGTGATGTGATCTCAGGGCATATATGACGCTGTTGCAGTTTTAACACTCCATGTGGTTATGTGTTTAGAATGGAATATTTATCCATTACAGGCATCAGGTATTCTCAGCACACAGCATTCCACCTGACATATTTTAAATTTCATCAACTCTAAAACTCCACAAAGAATAAATTAAGTCCCTATTTTATGTAACTGTAAGGGAAGATGCTCTTAAAGGTTGAACTATGGCTTTCCATCACATGTAAAATTAATCCCAATTTCGTAAATGTTGAAATGTGTTTAAAAAGATGTCCCTTAAAATGTACTATAGTAGTAGAAAACCCATTCAATGAACAACACAACATAAATGTCCTCAGAAACTCTGAACTTCTGTTTTGCTTTGCGTTTCTTGGTTGGTTACATCCAAGCCAGAATGTACAATGTGCTCTGTGTCCTCAAAGACCTTTGGAATTATTCAAGTTTATAGGTGGGAAGAAACTCACAGGTGAACTAGTCCATACCCTTATTCAATAAAAGTGAAAAATGAGATTCATGAAGGTGAAGTGACTTGTTCAAAATTCAATTCTGTGACATCATGTGGCAATTGCAAAATGTCTATGACTAAAGCTTATTTTTAATAATTATTAGTTCCAGTGACTGAAATAACCCAAATCAAAATGACAGTTACATCAAATAGTACAACTACAACTAAAACAAATCTCTAATATGCTATTAAACAATAGTACTATCAATTCTTAAACTCACTGATTTCACTCTAATTCTATTTAACATTCACTTTATTATCACTCTTCTCTACCAGCACATGCTTCAACAGAAAAGTTTGCTTTTCTATTAAAATTTGCATCAGAAGCCTTTTTGCTACTTAATTTCATAATGTTTCAAATTACAATGCTGAAATTTATAAAATTTTCTATAAATGAGCCATGATAGGATGATACTGCTGGTATTCTAGTGAGTGAGCGTGTGAGTGAGCGGAGTCGCTCAGTCGTGTCCGATTCTTTGCGACCCCGTGGACTGTAGCCCACCAGGCTCCTCCGTCCATGGGATTCTCCAGGCAAGAACACTGGAGTGGGTTGCCGTTATTCTAGTAGTGGTCATAAATAAGGAATCATTTTGTAAAGAATGTACTTTCTCAGTATTCCTCCCTTTAAAATATTTGTTAAATGTAGCATCATCCCACATTTATATTCCATCTATGTTTCTAAAAGCAGCCTTTAAAGTGAATGTTTTGATTTATTGTCATCTAACAGTGGTCTAATAGGTTTATGTTAATTCTTTTCTCTGCTGGCAGAGCTGAACATAGCAATAAATTAAGTAGATGCGTTTGCTAAGCTGTCTGCAATGATGTAACTTTCTTGCCATGGGAAGTTTCAGGCACAGCTGTGGGAAACCCAAGTTTCACCTAAATAAGTTTCATGAGTCTAAAACCACAGATTCCATTGAGATGAGACTTCGGCCTCTGGCTTTCACTTGGTATATCATGTTCATACGGTTTCAAAAGAAGCAGCAGACGCTGGTGAGCTCGCTAGCTTAGTAAGCCCCTCTAGGACTTACTTGCCTCCATCTGTGGTTCATTCTACCTAAGAGGAAGGATTTACCTGTAAGGCCATCTCTGAAATAACTCGGATCTGTGAACAAGTCATTCTGCGCTACCATGACATTTCCATGCAACTGAAAAGTGTTTGAAATGAATATCAAGAGCCGTGTGAAAGGAAACATTCCAAATATAGCTGGCTAGGAAACTAGGTCATTAGGATGATGGTCGAGGTAAAGTGAGGGGTGCCCAGGGTGACACTTGCTTCCAAACGCATCTTTCTCTCACACACACTGGGGATAATGCACATACTGAGGCATCTGCGCCCCTGCACTAAAGCATGCGACCCTGGACGGGTTGTCACCCCGCACAGCATACCCTGGAGTGAGTCCTTTGCCCCGTCTAATTCAGACATGGCAGCTGCCCTCGTGGCGTACCCTATAAACCTCTCTAAACAAACTCTTCCACAGTCACGATCTTTGCGCGTGAGCTTTCCTTTCCTTCTCCCGCCCCTCCCCTCACCCCCTCTTTTCAATCCTCTCCTTCTCCACCTCTTCCCTCCTCCACCGTTTAAGCACTTCCCCAGCTCTCAGTCTCTGCACTCTCTTGCTCTCAAGCTTACTATACCACTGACTCTTTCC